AACTTTACTCCTTCTTATCCGATTGAGATGGGGTTTTCACTATACATATTCTTTTTGTGTAGCAACAATGTCTGTAATGTTTTGAACACTGCTTTGCAAGTTTTTAATGTTGTTACTAAAAATAGGCGTCACTTATGACGTCATACTTTCAAGAAACGTCAAAATACCTTTACAGTGGTAAAAATTTTAAGAAAATTTTTCGCTGATTAAGATGTTTTAATGTCTTGCTTCATTTCTAATATAAAATACTGTTCTGTGAGCCAAAAATTGAATTTACGAAGTTGCGGGAGGAAAAGCCCTAGCAACCGACCATCGTGAATTGCTCCATCTCCGGTAGCACTGGCATCCGAATATGCAAAATAACTAGGATCTTTACTTGCAAAGCAATACCTAGAGTTGATATTAACCATATTTTCCTTCGAAAAATACAGTTCGTCCTTGCAGTAATCGTCGAGACAGAATATAGAATCCCAGTTATCTTTGCACAAGGTGGACAAGACACAATGTCTGGTCATTATCCTGCCAATGTTACCAACTACAGGCCTGGTAGAAATAATCTGACCAGTGAAGGAGGCCAACTCTCTCGCAGACACTTTGAAATCGGCTTCAATAACATGATCAATTGCATTGATGATCTTAAGAATTCTTCGTTCTACAATTTTTAAAGTACCCAGTGCAGAATTCCAGGTTATACCCAACCATTTCAATACTTGGGTGGGTTCCCATACCGATTTGTCTTCGTTAACAACAAAACCCGCGGTATACAAATCCCCCCTTACAGCTAGGGCCTTAATGCGACAACTTTGTCTATCCTGAACAATCGCCCAACCATCGTCCAAGAAGATGGCTATACAAAGACCCTGTATTCTTCAATACTTTTCTAAAGGCTTCAAAACCTTTGTGAAAACATAAGGGGCAGAGGAAAGACCGAACGGGAGCACAGTGAAAACATAAAATACTTCATTAATGGAATCAGGCGCCCGCCATTAAACCCCAGAAAAGTTTGGTGCTCTTGCGCAGTGTCGATATGGTGATAACCGCTTTTTAAATCAAAGGAAAACATGTGCGCGTCTTTCGCAAAATGAGACATAGCAATTTTCCAGTCCTCGTACTTAACGCTTTGCTTAATCAATGACTTATTGACATGGCACAAATCAAGAATTAACCTCTTTTTACCGCATGGCTGTATAGAAACTGACAAGGGATTACAACAAAAGGCTGCTCATTAACCATACGCACCCGACCAGACTTAACAAGCTCAAGAACAGCTTGGTCCACAAAATCAGCATGAAGTCGAGCTGACTTATTATTTCTTAGCTTTACGGCCAACGGAAAACTGATGAACGGCAGCCTGTAGCCGTTTTCAATAATAGACAAAATGAAATCCGGAGCACCTATAGATCTCCAGAAACCTAAATTATTCTTCAAATTACCCTTAACACTTAATGAATGTCCGCTTTCAAGTTCGTAATTCTGTGTAATTTGATCTACCTGCGCCAAGTCATCTTCATTGCTTTGGTTGAGTTGATTGGCCTGCGGTTGGCTTGTTGTAGGAGATTCCAGGGCAAGAATTGTAGCTAGGGGACTGGTAACTTCCCGGCCAGAACATGGATCTACAGTCCTTGGCCTAATGTCCAAATTTTCCGCGTTTGAAACAGCGAAAGAAGTCGCCAGAAGCGTCTCTACGGCCTGAAAGATAAAAGCAATGATGAAACCTGTAGTAAACGGGAGGGGAAAGGAGGGGCGTAAACCAGAAAGATGAATAAACTGTATGGAACCGCGAGCGTGAATGGTACTCAAGAGACAGCGGAGAGTATAAATACTAATAACTGACCAATCAGGACATCCATGTAAAACAGAATGCACAATAGTGGGTGCGGCAGGTGTGAAACGAAAACAAGTGCGACTAATTACTTGGAATAACAGCGGAAAATACATTGCAGCACAAATATAATAGAAAGCTTATGGGAAAAAAAAGAGAAAAAAAATATCCTGCCCACCAGATTGCTAGAAAAAAAAATTCTTGATGACCAGAAATCCCTCCCCCCCTCAAGAGTTAAACATCGGCCCCTAACGTCATCGTGAGGTGCACGTCAGTCAGCATAGATGTTACCATAGCAACCAAGTTGTCACAGCCACGCTATTGAAAAAAATAAATTGCCTTTTTCCTGATTTATGTTAACTGTTACTGAGATACAGGTTTTATAGTAACTAATTTAAGAAAAAAGTCGAATTTTAAGTGACCAAATGGCAGATGCTTGGTTCAGTTTTTAACGGTGTTTATTTCTCTTGAAAATTGGGACCTTGCAAAATAATTTTATTGCTGAGCATCGTTTTATACACAGATTAAATTTCCTACAGCAATTTTCTCGAATTGAGATCACATTTAAATAGCTATGCATTTAATTAATCCAAATAGTCAGATCGAACGGCTCAAGCTATCCGTTCAAACAATTTTCAGCCGCGATACTGTTCTAAACCAATTCCACCTGAGCCGTTTTGCGACGGACCTATCAAAAAATGTTACCTTAAAAAAAGCTTGTAAGTATTGCTTAGCATCACCTCATGAATTTTCACGGTGCATTTTCTAATGGATAGTATTCTTTGCTTTCATTACATTCAATTGTAAAGTTTTATTTAAGGCTAAGTTAACCTTATAATATTCAACAAATATCCGGAACAAGTTTCGTTTTGACCTTTTCTTATGCAAATATCAAACGCTTTTGGTAGCTGTGGAATACACTATCACTGTCAATAATCTTTGGCTGTTCAAAATACCTCCATCTTTCTTCACCATTCCCGGGAAAACCATTAAAGCTACTGCCACGGCAGAGATCTGAAAAATGAAAACAGTTCCTTGCATCTTCACGGCGGCTTACATTTATAAACGTCGGCATCTCAAGGAGCAGTACAGGATTTTTTCAGGTAAACCTAAAATGGTAATGGACTCACCCACTTCCATAAGAAATTGAATACTTGTTTACTGACTTTGCAGGCGGATCGTGCAACCCTTTCTGAGATGAGGAAACCCACAATACCGGCAAGACCTGACTGTTTTCTCTTTTTTTCCGAAAGTGTTGACCAATCAAAGCACGCCGTTTATTTCAAAACAAAAACAAACGACCGCATTGCATCAATGCTTTAAATTTGTTGAACGGGATTCGGCCTTTCTTTCAGTTACAACGTACCATGACACTGTTGCCTCACCATAACAACACCTTTATGAGCAAATAACATCTAATTCAGCGTTAGTGAGCCAATCCTTATCCCCTACATTGTTGTCCCGGAGCAGAGCTCTTTGGACACGCATCACACTCTACAGAGCTTGTACGTCGTGTTTAGCTTACGAACACTTTGACTTCAACAGCGAAGATTGGTTTTCCGATAATCTGCACGTGACCTCCAACTGATATTTGCGAATAATAAAAAACGAATTAAACCGCTCGTTTCGGCAGACGTTCGTGGGGCAAGAACGCATGACGAACCCCTGGGCACGTCTGCGTGGGAGGCTAAGTTAAGGCATGGGATAAAACAATTAACGCGCTCGAAATTTAATTCAAAATCTTCTTCTTCGACGTTAATTATCTTCAAAGAATTTTTTTTTTCTTTCTAACAGAACAAAACCCTGGCGACGTGGACAACGTCAGTAGTAGGCAAAGTGACGGGTGAGAAGAATATCCTTTTTTTGCATCTCTCTCTTTTTTGCTCTTCTTGGTAGGCGAAGCGCTTAAAGTTTAAATTGATATCCACCTGCTAGTGCTTTTAAACAGCGATTTTGCGGTTTTTTAAAAATTATTTTTTGGACTGCATGTTATCGTCGCTATTATTACAACGTATACCTAGAATGCTGTTTAGAAGTCACTTGACCTTATTCATCAAATGCGTTATCTCCCTGACAACTAGCCATTTGCTGCATGCTCACATGCCATTCAGTTTTCATTAATTCAGGGCATCAAATTTATCGCCTTTTCTTCTCACGCCAGATGATACTGTCGGCGTTGCGTCAATGATACAGAAGTTCGCTTTTAAACCTTTTTTTTATGAGGCAGGTGTGATGTTCGAGAAGAAGAAATTGAATCTCAGAGAGCCGGTGCATGTGAAGAAGAGGAGTCTGAGGAGGATTCTGAATCCGACAGCGTCGCTGCAGGTGAAGAAAAGGAGTCTGAAATAGGTGATAGGGAAAGTGAAGATTCGTTCGACAGTTATGAAAACGCGACCAATATCTTTACCAATATCTTTTATTATTGTTTTGTGACAATCGAGAGTGTTTTGCTGTACTTATTGTGTAGGTATTGGTCTTGTCTTAGGAACGGGAATATAAGACAAAATCTATTAAACACAGCATACCTAAAATTCCTACTTGCACACCTAGACATACACGTTCTGATCACTGCGTCCCAACTACGCATACCATGATTACAGCAACTTTGTAAGTACGGCCAGTGTGGCTTGAATATAATCTTTACAAAGCGTTAATCCCCTATTAAGTCAACCCCGGGGTTTATTTTTTCCCAAGCATTCTTGAAGGGGGGGAGGCTTAATAGAGAGGGGGCGAGGGATTAAAAGAGGGGGTGGCTTAAAAGAACTCCACTCACTTCACCTCGAGTTGAAAAAGTTAAGCACATGAAGTTGGAGGTCATGTGGGGGAAGACCAAAAACAATGTAAACTTCCAGCTTGAATAAACCATAACTGTCCACGTTAATTGTTTGTGAAGAATAAGGATGATGGGGAGGGAAGGGGGGGGTAAGGCTTATTAACTTTCATCCACTGAAAAAGGGGGGGCTTTATCGAGAGGGGAAGCTTATTTGAGATGGGGGGCTTAATAGAGGATTTACGGTATTCCGATACTTGAAAGTATTTCAATTAAAAAGAGCTCCAATAAGTTTGTTTGCTTGCTTTTTCAATTATTTTAAGATTCAATTTTCTTTAGTGAAACCTCTCCATAACGGCGAGGTAAGGTGTGACTGCATCTTTCTTTTTATCATGGTCCCATGAATTTAGATGTCGATCTGGAAGAAGATTTACTGGACACATTAGGAGAATTAAGGTATCACGTGGTTCAAGAAAAAGTTACAGCAAAGGCTCTGATGACGTACAGTAACAATCCTTTGTTATTTGCAGTAAAGGTTATTTCTTTTATTATAATTATAGTTATTTATGGTCCTATTAACAAGTCAGTGTTAATTCGTATTTAAGTTAGCTTCTGGACTTCCATTACACTTTCCGGCGCCTGCAGGGTGAAGTGAAATATCGGCATCACACAATTCTCAAGGGGTTTAAGGCCTGGGTCATGCTTTAAAACCAGTTAATAAAAAGAAACCGCTGTATGTTCGTAATAGTTCGACTACATGTTATGAAATTTTCAGGGATAATAGTTCCTCGGAGGAACTTTTGCCTTAACGTGGTTCTGTTCAGTAAGGTAATGACGTAGAATGCCACGTGACTAAAACAACACATGTTTACTTTTTGTGGAAATTGGTGGCCAAATAAAAAAAAATTACAAAAAACAAATGGCTTGCCAAGACAATTAGTAAATTTGTCTAGCCCTCTACGTTTGGAATGAATTTGCCCCACGTTTTCAACGAAAGCTTGATAAGTAAATATAGTAATTCACAAACTTTTGTAATCTTAATAGCACTTTTCTCTTTACAAACTTTTCAAGGCGGCTCATTCCAAACGTGAGTTTCAAGCTCCTTTATTCGTTCCTTTCATTCGCTAAAAAAAAACAGCTAAGGAAAGAACACGGCACCAACGAGAGCTTTATCGGTGCCTGTATGTCGAAAACAAAAACCGCCGCCATCTTGGTACTTTTCGTCCCGTGAGTAGAACCTGGACCGAATGAACACTTGTTTCCGCTGACTGTTTACAAACTAGAACGCGCACAATCAATATGGCGGACAAGATACGAAACTAATACATCGAGGATAAACACTCAAATTCCAACAAAATAGTTTAAAAGCAACAGATTTATTTTACTTTTCTACAAGTCTGACAGCTACCGTAATCGTCAAAAAAATTAATTAGCTCTAATGCTTGACATTTTTCTTTCGATTAAGAACTGTACTACGCGCGTCTGACTACGTGTACTGAAGAAAAGTGGCGATAGCGTTTCACTTGCACACAATTATTAAGCTTTTTGCTTGAGCTTTTTTCTTTCGTCGGCTACCTCTACGTGTTACGTTTTCAAAGGACTGTTGATGGTCAAAACATCAAAGCGAGCGTACGCTGAGGAGCTAACTCGTTTTGGTGATCGATAAGCCCCAGAGGATGGCGGAGAGGGAGGGCACACATGATGCAATTTGAGTTAATTTATCCATAGGCCGCAAACATTAAGTGCGAACGTCTATACAGTTGTATTTTACGGAGATACAGTAATGAAGCTGAGCTGGGAAATGGACAGTTTGAGCCACGTAAATTATTTTAAAAGCTTCAAACCCGACAAATAGCTGGCCTTATTAACCTCCCCTCCCATACTAAAAATACTTACCACCCTCGAACGCGCGTGTTTCGCGCCAATTTCCCAAGGTCAATCTTATTAAAGTCACTTGGACATCAAAAAGTTGAACAGTGGTAGGACAAACGGTTAAAAAACGCAAAAAACAAACCAAAAAAAACAACAACAACAACAAACAAACAAAAAACAAACCAAAAAAAGAAAACGAGAGGAGAGAGAAATATGTAGCACAAAATGTAAGTTAACATGGGTATTGACTGTGGCTTTGCACGAGTGTTTTTGTGGGAGACGAAGTCTATGGCCAAAAATAATGTAAAGAAAAAGGATGATGAAACAGAAAGGTCCTATAAATGCCGCCTGCTTAATGAAAGGCATCGACTATACATGGAGAAGTTCAAGGAATATCCACGTTTACATGTCAGCAAAAGTATTTTTTTTTACATATTCATCTTTAATTATAGGTTTTTCTGCAATAACAATTGCTTTACAAAATAAAGCCAAGTAAAGTAAGCACAGAATAATTCAATGTAAAAAATTACATTTTACAAAATTCTCATTGCTTTAAATGGTAGGTCTTTTCCTCAAGAAATACAAAGCAATTGATGAAAAGATTGCAAAATGGGCACCCCCGATTAAAAAACAGCAATATTTAACTACATTTTCATCATCAAGTTGGCAAAGAACTACACAAGGACGAAAAACGTTGCACCAGTTGGACAACTGCAAGTGTTGTATACATATGCATCCAGTTGAATGTAGTCTGTACCCCCGAAAAAATGGTTGTGTGGTGACAGAGGGAGCCATTCACTGAACTGCGAAATCAAGCAAAGAAGCTGACAAGCACTAACTCTCTTAACCCATCGCAAAAGGAAGGAACAGCCATATACAACGAATTTAATGATGTGTGCAATAACAGGTTGGGCAAGTCTTTTGGTGATGTCCTTACAATGGTCCCAAAAGGCTGGCCTCCAGAAAAAGCTATCACCTGCAGAAGCAAAGGAAAAAAACCGTCAACCAAAAAGGAGATTTAAAAAGAATGTGGAAGATGGATGGAAAAAAATGATGTCGCCCTGCATCTTTTACAAAGGACATCATATGCGACACGAAAATGCAGAGGATCGAACAGTGCTTTGAAACCCTAGACGAGGCCAAAGAGCGCAGAGAAAGAGCCCCAAAACGGCAAAAAAGATCACACACTCCCAGTAAAATCAGTGGCAACTTGCAGCTACTACTGGCAGATGTTCCACAATGGAAGAAGGTAAACTGGACAGAGGAAGCGAAGAAATATAACATCTGTAAGGAGGGCGCAAGCAATCCACCAGCAAATGCCGGGCAGCTGCTTAAGGAGTATTTACACAAGAAAGGAGTTGACACTGAAGCACTTGAACAACAGAAAAGTGAATTACAATAAATTTTGATTTCACTAAAAATAATTTTAAAAAGTATGTGGTAAAATTAATGTATGTTCTGCTGGGAAACAAACAAACAAAAAAAGAATGAAACTTTTCCTACCAAAAATAATTATCTATGCTTAATTTGGCCCTTTTGTTTGTCCTTTGAAGGACCAAGAATTAGGAGAGCACTGAAGAAGCAACAAGGTGGAGAGGTTTCAATGCCAGTACATCGCTCTAACAGCCTCATTGGGAAAGAAAGTCAGGAAAAGATAGATTCAGGCCACTTCAATCTAGGTGTTCCAGTTCTTGAAACAGAATACACCAAACTTGTCATCACTTCAGGGGGAAAAATTGAGAAGCGCCCTTGCAAGTTAACCGCCAGAAAATATCCATTATCAGAAGTTAGAGAGAAATGCCTTCTTAAGAATGAAAAATACGTGCGTCTAAGATCAGATGAGGACTATGATGTTCAAGGTGCTGAGGATGTAAAGAAACGACTTATCTCCCTCAGTGAGATGAAAGCATGTGAAGGTGGTTCTCCTGATGAGCTACGGCAACATTTGAAGGAGGTGGAAAGAACAAGGCACTGGCTGATCTGGCATGTCCATGCCGGAGTTGCAAGCAATGGCCTTCTCTTATTCTTATTACGAGAACTTTACGATTCTGCCATTAACTTGACAAGCGAAGAATTCATGGCAAAAAAACAACCTCACCAAAAAGATAGACATTCAAGCAGAAGTGGAACAGCCTCATCTGTACATTATGGGTGTGTGTGGCAGTTCAGATGCTGACCAGATGCTTTTCACCCCAACACGGCAAGAATGTTTACGAGGCCTCGCACTGCTAATCCAAATAAAAGACATCAGCATTACTGACAAAATGAGGTTCATGAATGGAGACAATCCAAGTGTGGAGTTCGAAGATGAAACACAAAAAGGTGGTCATCGAGGATGTGTTGGCTGTGATGGAGACATGTGACGTTCTTCAGACTTTCAGTACATGTCACACAGAAAGTACCACACTCTGGAAGAAAAGCAAAATTTAGTCCTTGCTGGGCCTGAGGGAAGAAAAGGAGGACTGTATCCATTTAAAAACCTGAAGGTTGAGCTTCATGAGAGGGGGAAGGATGGCAGTGGTACAAAGCAAGAACTCCAAGAGAGACTTACAGACATTCTGGGTGGAACAACACGAGTTCCAGCACTGCTGTATGGTGACATTCCATTTAGTTTGAAAGATTTAAATTTAGAACATTATGAAGTCTTATTTTTTGAGCCCCTGCATTTTTGCTTAAATCAAATAGCACCTGTTCTGGATAAACTACCACACCATATTACAGATGTCGATGTACTGGTGACACTGAAGGAAACACTTTCCATCACACTTAAAAAGGACAAGCTTCGCTGCACTGACTACCGACGCGCACTTTTACAAGTTACCATTCTTTTGGCTGAAGAAGCAGATGAAAGTGTTTTGGAGCTGCTGACCACTCTCGCAGAAATGATGGGTATTTTCTACTCAAAGGAAGACAGCAGAAATCCAAAGCAAATATTGCGACTTACAAACCTGTCGTTTAAACATGCACTGGCGGTGAGGACAGTATTAACTCCACCAAAGACTATGACCAATCGCAAACTTTATGGAATCTATTACCACAGTGCTGTTCATCACGCTGCTGTCATATATAGACTGGTTTGCCTTTCATCTATTAATGCAGAGTTATTTGAAAGATTCTTTGACAGAATTGTAGACATCACGAGAAAGACATGGAGCAAACAAGCTGAAGATCTGGTCCCAAATGCATTTCTACACATACAAGGAGAAGATTACACTGCAGGGGAAAACACGGTGACCGTACAAGAGAGGGAAATTTCCAAGCTGGCAAAGAAGTTACTGGTGAGAACCAACACAACAGTGGGCAGGGATCTGTTGACAAAGAAGCCAAGTCTGTGGCAGTCTCATTTGAAAATAATCAGTGATTTTCTGCAGCAAGGACAAGGAGTGTGGTGGCATTGGAAAGATGATGGTTCAGTGGAATTTCATGATGGTCCCAATGAAGCAACAGATCGCTAGCAGGGCCCAAGTATGTCACATTTCAGATCAAGTTCAATTAAAGATGTTCAAAGCAGTTTGGAAACTGCTTGGCAGCAATGTCATGAGAAACCTCAAGACCTACCTTTGTACAAGCTAAGAGATAACAGTGGAAAGCTTGTCTACAGCAAGTTAAATGAAGCAGGCCCACCTGTTGGTGAAACAGATGATTCAGAAGAAACAGAGGTCCATGAGCAGCAACGGGGTACAGGTAATTAATTTCATCATACAAGTGTGGCAATCAGAACAAAAGTTTAAGAAAGAATGATATATCCATATTATTATAAGACAAAATACTGTATATGTGCATTTGAACATTACATGCACAACCTTGAGCTGCAACATGTACATTTCCCTTTTGCAGAAAAAGAATACACAGAGGAAAATTACATGTACACCTGTGCAACAGTGTTTAAGTTTTACACGATGTGATATCAACAAACATATTTCATCCAATATGTCAAAAATTGCTTTGTGGTTTTCCTGTACTTGTAGATGAATGCTTTCCAGGAAGGCACAAATGGTGGCAAGAAAGATTTAACCAAAAACTGACTTTATCTCAAACCACTATTTTATACGATTGGAACAAAGAGTCAAATAAATGGGAAGTCCTTAAGTATTGTTTGATTGTGGCCAAATATAATGATTGTTTTTGCAACAAGCGTACGCAACAGCATCCTGGACTTTGACAGTTTTCTACTGCGTCTTAAAAACAAAATTGATATTCTTTGCACCATAGCTTTTAGATCTAACCGCTTACAGCAATTTAAAAAACATGGGAAAAACTTCCTTAAATATGTGAATGCTAGCGTCATTCCCATAAAACATATTCCTTTAAGCTACACTGTACTGCTGTACTATTTCACTCACTCATTAGATTAGCATCTTTTCCCCTTTAGTTTAGTTTCTCTCCGTTTCCTTTTTTAGCCCGACGTGAAAATACAAAATAGTTTGAATAGTTAAAAGAACAAGTATTTGTAATTAAAAATTAATTTATAACAAAAGAAGGCAAAAATAACTTCAAAGATCAATTATCTACTGATCACAACAAATAACATATTCACTTATTTTGGACAATAATCCATAAAAACAATAAAATAATGATAATCATGGTATTGTATCCTCACTTTTTCCTTTTCTCCAAAGAAACATCTAATGAAGAAGATGAGAGTGCTGAAGGTGATGGCAATGAAGTCACTGCTGTGATTTTCAGAGTGGATGAAGAAGATGAGACAAGACAAGAACAACAAGTTGAAGATGACAATACAGGGGAAAAAGGTGAAGAAACAAGTCAAGAACCAAATGAGCCTGAGGAGCAGCAAACAGAGCATGAACCAGACCGACAACTTCCTGAACAAAACACAGCAGATGAAAGTGTACAACAGCTCTCTTCTAAAACAGCAAAAGCAGCAGAGGTGGTGCTGGGAAAAACTCCTGATGTTGTGCAGCTAGACAAACTACGCACTAGCCTTAACCGCAACCCAAAATCCCGCCATTGTATCAAAAGATATGAAAGTCATCTTGCAAAAATACAAGTTTTTGTATTAAAAGCCACAAAACAACTTAAAGGTCAAATGAATCAAAAATTCGACATTTTTTATTTTAGTTCAATTCTAGTGAAATGTGTTTAATATGAACCAAATAAACATACTATGCAGTTTCAGCTCAATTGAAGCAAGTATCTCCGAGATATTTGCAATTAAAAATTGCTATTTTTTGGCGCTTATCTTCGTAGTGCGGTCGGAAAAATTGTCGGAAAAAACAGCTTGTGACGTCAATGTTGGTCAGGTGAAAGAAAGCGGGAAATTCAAAACATAGTTTTTCGAGTCGACTTGGCGCAGAAGTGGTTTGTGTGGCCATAAACCTGGAAAGAACAGGCAATTTGTCTTCAAAAGTTGCAAGCTGTGGTTATAACCTTCTTATTATTTAATTTTCTCGAAGAATACACATCATAGTAAAACGGACTTTAACGACCCACCCAAAACCAGGAAACCTATTCGACGCTAAACGAACAAAATGGGATGACCTAAGCCTTATGGTTTCTTTTTGGGCTTCCTCACCACATTGCTTCTGCGTGTTTCTGTATACTTGTCATTTGCTTTGTTTTGTTTTTTTTTGTCGGTAAAATAAACTGAAACTGTACAAAGACCCTCAATATTCCCTTTGGAGGTTCTCGAACGCGCATAAAAAAAATGAACAACGCGATGATTTATTGACCGCAAGGGCAATGGGGTGGGGTTAGGGCTCGTTACTGCGCTCCGGTTCACTCCCATGCTGTCAAATGGTCCCGAAATACAAAATGAAAAATGGCTGTGGACAGACTATTCACGTCTAGACATCAAGCATCTTTTAGGATGGGACTTATCGCCTCTCCCTGTTCATGGAGTTGATTCAAGGTGTTGACGTTAATTTCGTGATGCCCTGCATGTTGTCAGGACATGTTTCAAAAGGGCCTTTCCAAAGGTACAGAGTCCGTCGTCACCTTGTCAACCGTGCGAGAAATGATGTACTTCACAAAAACAAAGAGAAGTTATTTTCGATTTGCCCCGCCCCCTACCCCCGAAAGTCCCCGACAGGACCGCTTCAAAGTACTCCCCATGTGGTTGCGCGGGGGATAGTAACAGGTCTACCTAATTGTACCGTGCATCAATGACAGTTTAGCTCAATCAGAAGAACCTTTCCCCTGGCTAGTTCAAGGTGTGTGCACCTCCTTTAAGCTGTTGTTTTCGGTTCTAACTGAAATTTTTGATCTTGAGGAAATTCACAACGACAGGAGCAGGTTATGGCAGGAGCCCATCAAATGGAGCCTCCATCTCCATTAATTTCTTGAGTCAACCCTTTCCCGAGTAGATTTATAAATAGAACGGCTTGTTTCCCGCGAAAAGTGTCATATGTCCGTGAGTCTCGTATGTCACCGTGAAAAAAATGAAGTTGGATGAAGTCGAACTCAGAAGCCCGTCCTTCGACCGTTTTCCTTTTTTACTATACGTCCATTTTTACAGTTTTACAGCCGCTGGGATCTGGGATGAAATAAAAGTTAATGAATTACCCGACTGAGACTGAGCATGAAGCAATGGGACAAAGGCAGCGAACTGAGGATCACGGAAAGGTTCTTTGCGAGTGTTTGTTTTTGTTTTTTTTTTTTTGGCGTCATCATCCCACATTTAAGCGTGCACCGTGAAAAGAGTCGACGATTAAGCGTTCTGTGGACGATTTGAAACTTTTCGATGATCAGCGTCGAAAAAGTGCCAGGATCATTTGATTTTTGTTATCGCCGTGGAGTGGATTTCGTCAGTTAAGCACCGCGTGCAAAAGTGATGGCCTAAGTAGCAACTAAGGAGGAATGCTTCAGAAAAATTGCAGTCTTCCTTTACAACTGACTTGTATCACCATGAGAGTTGCCTGATAAAACTGGCACTTACAAAGTTGAACAGAAGACAACAGTTGCTCGACCGTGAAGCTAACTCAAAAGTAATTTGCTAACGGAGGAATTTGTGACATCGCGCTCCAGTGCAAAGACCCTCTTATCTCAAGGAAAACAAAATGGATTGTATCTGCGACAAAAGAATTATGACTGACTAACAGGAGAATTCTCAGCAATTAATTTAGAAGTTTAGGCCAATTCTTTCCTTCGAATTCGCATCTGTAGATCACTTTTTTGCGAGAAAACAATGGCTGGGCTCGGCGTTACAAAACATAGCAGGGAATCATCACACTAACGGACGGACAAAACAACCACAGTATTTATTCAGACAAACGCATTTCGGAGAAAAACTTGAAAAACTAGAAATTTGATTAATATTGAGTCATTTAGCCGAAATAAGAACCTTAACGCTAAAAAAAAGTGGCTAAAACGAATCCTGTCAGAACTACAGACTGCAGGTAGTAGTTAATCATTACGCATGTAACAGACCAGCTTCATGGCCTCTTATAAATGTGAGACAAGCAACCAAAATTAAGATTAACATAGTCAGAGTTTAAAACTCTCCACAGTATAATCTACCCGCTAGAAAGAAAAGAAAGAAAATCTCTGAGGGATGAAAACGCTAAAGTCACGTTTCACTAGCTTATGATTTTGTTTGGCCTGTCAGCACCGGATTTCCTGCTGTTTCATGAAGTACAATAGCACTGTCATTTAGTCGTTGTGATTGGCTCTTCCCACCGTCGGCGCGCGAAGTCTCCCCTGGGAACCGTTCTAATTATAAATCTACTCGGGAAAGGGTTGACTCCAAGGGCTTGTATGGGAGATGGAGGCTCCATTTGATGGGCTCCTGGTTATGGGCTTTTTTCCTAGCCCTAATCCTACATCACGGGAAATCCCTCAGGTTAGGCAAGAATTCGATAATCCTTCCATAATCATCCATTTTTTCACCGCGTGAATTGCGTATTTTTAGCTTATTTCGAGGAAATACTTTTTGCTTCAAATCCAGGGTGGGCTTTTAAACACATTTTTTAAGCCAAATGGTTTTTGCGAGAATCTGCTTACCCGAACTTTTCGCATAAAAAACGACAAATACCCGAAAAATGCTCATGTTGTTGGTGGTAGTGGCATGTTTCCGATAAATTCAGCTCAATGTCTCGTGAAGAAGAGTTCAGATCCGTGCCCCGCGCCTCTCGAGGCAAGCGTTTCGTCAAAATGCGAGCCCAACAACAGGTGGTAAGCGGTCAATCTGTGAAAAGTAACGCAATCTCCGTCGTTTGAGAGCAGCCGAAGATGCTCTTGCCGATGCTGTCCTTGATGGTTTTTATTTCCAGCATCTAGGAAACCCATGCTAAGGTATGAAACATACACTCGTAGGCATTGTTCTGTCCGCTAAAGTCTAATTCCTGGACGCAGAAACGTTGTGCTTTTTGAAGTTTATTATTGTACTTTGCCCTTTGACAACCTTACGTGACTCGTGCGTTTGGTAGCAGAAGATGGCTAAACTCTGCTTTTCTTGTTAGAAAACGGCTTTAAATTTTATCAGATCGCTCGATAAACACGTGTTGGTTTCTGATAGCTGATAACGTTAAATCGCTGTTTCTCAAACTGATTTCTTATTGCATTTTTCTGAGTTTTTAGC